CAGTCTCTTGTCTGGCAGAATAGAGTACAAGTTCCTTATCCTCACGTTCAAGGCGCTCCCTGACTTGACTCCCCAGCTCACTAACCTCTGCTTTCCCATGGTCACCATTTCATCTTCCCCAGGTATAACATGTAACCTGGTTTATACAGGTTACGATCGCACAACTCTAGGAGCACCACCTGCACTGTAGTCACAACCCGCACAGCCTATATGGGGGCCCCTTCATGTACCCCGTGAGCATGGGTGTGTGTCCTCTGTCCATGGGATTCTCCAGACAAGAATACTGGAGTGGGTTGCCATGCCTTCCTCCAGGGGATCTTCCTGACCCAGGGATCAAACCCCCATGTCTTGCGTTTTCCGCATTGCAGGTGGATTTTTTACCCACTGAGCCATAGGGGAAGCCCAGTTAAACTTCTATGAACGCATTACTCCATACCACCCTTTCTTCTCAACTTTCTTGTATTCCTTTCATTTATCCGTAAGAGTCAGTGTAAATGCCACCACCTCCGTGAAGCTTACTCTGATCTTCCCACCCTCCTCTGAGACTCCCTCTGGGTCATCGCCAGTGGTTTGTAGTTTACTGGGGCTTGTGGCTCTTTGTCGTTGTGCCCCTACTGCCCAGGATAGGACCCGGCACTTAGTGTATGCTGAACGCAGGATTGTGGACTTGAAGTGTGTGCACATATGTGACTGGTTCTCTGCCATTACGTGTATCTCTCTCCAGACAAAAGGGGGTGTGTTGTCGGTATGTGTATGTGAGTCCCTGCAACTTTGTGTGTGGTTTAGGGCTACACACACACGTTTGATTTCCAGCTCTTTATGAATGTCTCACTCTGGCCACCAGGATGTGCTGTTTGCCAGTGTCCTGTGCTTGCCAGGGATGCTCTGTGTGTGCCCCTTGTGGCACTAGGGGGCAGTGTGCTATCCAAGTTGCGACGGTGGGGTGTGGCTGGAGGCATCTGGGCAGTGCCAGGCAGAAATGCCTCCACTACCCTAGCTAAAGACTGGAGAGGCTTTCTATAGGGCCACCCCTTCCCCAAAGTCCCCATTCCAGCCTTGAACAAAGCTTAATTTGTCGGGCTGTATGTAAACACAAGCTGGGACAGCCAGGCACACAGCCTTGCCTTTGGCTCAAATTCCTTCCTTCAGCCTGGGAGGTGGGGGTGGGGAGGAGAGTCCACTCCCTGCATATCCTTTTCCGGTACAGTAGTAGGCAGGAGCCAGATTTCTCAACTTTCAATCTCTTCACACTTCCTCATCTGTGTGGCCTGGGGCAAAGTCCTCTCTGAGCCTCAGTTCCCTCATCTGGAAAACAAGAATAACTGATGTCACCTCTCAAAGTGGGAGACCATGTGTAAAAGGCCTAGAAAAAGGCCCAAAGCTGTTATTGGTGTTGCTGTTACTGCTCTGTCATTATTATTGCACGTTCTACCCAGTCACTGAGTAAGACAATCCTGTGGACAGCCCGGGCCTGGGGGAGAACCTTTCCTAAACATGGGGACCCCCGCATGCCCCCTCACTGGGCTCTGGAGGCCCCTGCTGCTATCTGACCTGTGGTACCTCTCTCTGCAGTACGTGCATGAGGGCGGCGTGGAGGACCTAGTGAGGCCCCTGCTGGCTATTCTGGACAGGCCCGCCAAGCTGCTGCTGCTGCGGGACATTAGGTGGGGAGGGCTTGGGGGCAGGGAGGGGACCCCCGAAACCTTCCCTAACCTCTCCAGGGCTGAAGCCCCTCCAGGTTCCCCCGGAACTGAGCCCTGCCCACACCTCATCTCTTACCCTCCCCCAGGAGTGTGGTGGCCCCCACAGACTTGGGTCGCTTCGACAGCATGGTGATGCCTGTGGAGCTGGAGGCTTTTGAGGCCCTCAAGAGTCAGGCAGGTCAGCAGCCAGGGGGCAGGACTGAGGCTCCTGAGCCCCAGGTGTGGCTGGGGGTGGGGGCCTCCCAGGGGAGAGGGGCAGAGCTGCCTGGGCCCTTTCAGCTGTGTCCCTCAGGGAGCCTTGTTCCTAACCTGCTCTCCTCTCCAACCAGTTCGGCCTCCTGCCTTGAGACCAACCCGACAAGACACACTACCCAAGCGTCACCTCATCACCCCTGTGCCTGGTCAGTCAGAGTTCCAGAGTGCAGAGAGGGGGCACACCCCAGGGGGACTCGGGGAGGGAGAATGGGCATTCCATCCCTGTTTCCACATAGGACTTTATGGCTTCAGAGATATGTGTGGTGTGGTTCCCTGAAGGGAATCCCTCATCTCCCAGGACCATTTTTATCACGTCCACTAACCATCTGTACTATTATTTATTTACTAATTGGTTTTAAAACCCACTCACTTGTTAAATCATCTCATTCTATGAAATAATCTCTGAGAAATAACCAGCTTGGTGTGGGAGTCATATTTTTACTCAGATATGATAAAATAAAACTGTAACTATTCCAATAGAAAGTATTAAAATACTTTTGCAATAGAACTGGGGCAGTGTCCCTCACCGTGGGACACACTGCTGTAAGAGCCTGAGCGCACCCAGGTCTCCTTACACCCACGCAGTGAGGACTGGGCTCTGGCCAGGCAGTTTGGGCTGTTGAGGAGAGGGCAGCCTGACCTTGACCCTCTTCCCCAGACAGTCGTGGCGGCTTCTACCTGCTTCCTGTGAATGGCTTCTCAGAAGAGGAAGATGATGGGGAGCTGAGGGAGCGGCTGGGGGGCCTCCAGGTCTCCCTGGGTGCCTCTGCCTCCTGCCACCCTCATAAAGGAATCCCCCGTCTCCAAGACGTGCCAGTAGATGCCTTCGCCCCACGCCGAAGCGCCTGCACACCCCTTCCTCAGCCACCTCCCGTGGCTCCTCGGCCCCCGAGGCCTAACTGGCTGCTGACTGAACCGTTGACCCTAGAGGACCCTCAGCAGAGCTGGAGCCAGGGCCCAGCCCAGAGCCGCAGCCGCAGCCGCAGCCGCAGCCGCAGCCGCAGCCGGGGCCAAGGCAAGTCCCCCGGCCGCAGGCGTTCCCCATCCCCGGCACCCATCCCCACTCCCAGCACAGCCAATGGGCGCTACCACAAGCCTCGGAAAGCCAGGCCCCCTCTGCCACGACCTATGGCAGGGGGCAGTCAAGGGCCCTCTGAGAATGGAACTGGCAGGACAGCTGAGGAGACAGTCATGAAGGTCCCCAGTGGGGAGTTGAGGACCGTCACGCTGTCTAAGATGAAACAGTCCTTGGGTGAGTCTTGGCAGGACTGGGCCTGGTGGGGGATGGGGGCTTGGGTGTGGGTGCGGTTGGTGGGCTTGGTTTTGAGGTGTGACTTGGGGACCTGGAACAAGGGAAAGAATCAGGGTATAGTTGGAAAGGTCTAAATTTGGGAGGCTTAGGATTAGAGTGGGTTGAGGATGGAGCAGTAGTAGGATCTGGGGGTTGGCTTGGGGGGGTCTCTATTTGGGGATGGGTGCTGGGTTCTCCAGAGAGCTCTAGGCTTTAGTGGTGTGGCTGCACTGTCACCCAGCGTTTCTCCCTCTCACTAGGCATCAGCATTTCTGGGGGCATTGAGTCCAAGGTACAACCCATGGTGAAGATAGAAAAGATCTTCCCCGGGGGCGCTGCCTTCCTCAGCGGGGCCCTTCAGGTGGGTGAAGGGCACCCAGACCCACTCTTTAGGCCCAGATCTGAATTTTGGCAGAGGGCAGGACCAGTGCATGCCCATCTTCCAGCCAGACATGTGTAGACCAGGTCGTGGGAGGAGGTTTGGAGCAGGGGGTTAACCTGCAGGTTGAGCAGACCTAGGGAAAAATCTGTGTCTTCATGCCAGCCTGGGCCTGAGGGTGGCCCATCCTGTTCCACCCCTAGCCCCAAGGAACAAAAGGCCATTGTCTGTGCCCCACCCTGCCCCCACTGGGCTTCGGGCACAGAAGTCCCATTGTCCATCCCCTCCGCCCAGTTGGGGAGTAGTGTCCCAGCTGGTGGAGGTGAGAGGTTGCGGGGTGGGGTGGGGTTGACCTGAGGAGGGAGGTCTGTGACTCTCCCATCCCCACTCCAGGCTGGCTTTGAGCTTGTGGCCGTGGATGGAGAGAGCCTGGAGCAGGTGACGCACCAGCGGGCGGTAGATACCATTCGCCGGGCTTATCGAAACAAGGCTCGGGAGCCCATGGAGCTTGTGGTTAGGGTCCCCAAGCCTGGCCCACTGCCCTTGCCCTCTGACTTGTCAGCCCTCAATGAACAGCAGCTTCCTGCTGACCATTCCCCTGCCCGCTGACCCCTTGATGGCACTCCAACTGCCTCCCACTGACTCCCAAACTTCCCATTAATGCCCTTCCCACCCAAACCCCGACCCCTCCTGCTAATGCCTACCTTCTCCAGCTGACCCGAAGCCCTCTCTCCAACCCTCTTGCCTCCTGACACTAATCCCAGATTCTCCCCAGCTATCCTATCCCATAACTCTCCCCACTGACCTCAGAGAATCCTCCTGTCATCCCCTAGACCTCACCTACTAACCTCTTCAGGCTTCAGGAACCTTCCACTCCTGCTTGCCTTGCCTCCTCCACACTGGTGGCTCAGATCCCCTCCCTCACGTCTCCCTCCCCAGTTGTCACTAAGGCTCTGCCCGTTCCAGATAAACTTAGTGTCAAGGACAAGGTCACCAGCTCACTGACCCCAACTTCCCAAGACAGGAAGGGGATACCCAGGGTCTGGAGCTGGGGATTGGTGTGCACTTTCTCATGATTCCCTGAAACAGTGAGGGACAGGGATTCTCAGAGATGGCCCTCAAGGGGGTCACTGCATCCAGCCCCAAGCTGTGTTCTGTTCAAGGGAGAGGAAGTTCTTTTCTAATTTCTCAAACCCTGAGGGCCCATTTCATGTTGTAGTCCACTAGGACATCAGATTTTCTACTTGATTTGTCCTTCCCCATCACCCTTTCCCTAAGATCTCTATGAGGGGTAGGGGAATAGCCATCAAATAAAAGGGCTTGGGGGGTCAAAGTTCCCCTAATCTTTATCCACCACACTCATCTTTTTTTAAAAACAAACATTTTAATTTTTTTCTTTGGGTTTGTACAAGAAATTTACAATGTGAAAAATATACAAGTGAAAAACGAGGCCAAAAACCTGGATATGGGGAGGGGCCACTTGGTCACAAACACAAATAAACATTTCTGAGTTCTTCCTTTGGTCTGACTACAGCCCCTTCTCCCCAGGAGAGGGGTTGCAGAGCTGGGACCTGGGGATCAGACCCCAGTCCCAGTCCTGTTCCCCAACATGGGCAGGGTTGGGGGCAGGCACATCTGGAGCAGCTGGCGCTATATGGCTCGCTCTAGCTTTGGGATGGTGGGGAGAACGTGGAGATGAGGGAGCCCCTTCCTTTTCCGAGCCCCCTGGGTGAGTGGGCTGGGAGCGCTGGGAGGGTGTGGGGTTGGCAAAATAGCAATGGCAGTATTTGGGGAGTGAATGAAATAGGTCGAGTGAGTAGGAGCCTTTGGGTGACAGTGAACATGGGGACCTTCAGGGAGTCTGATCCAAGTCATTGGGCAGCCCTGAGTCCTTGGCAGAGGCCCAGAGGCCTGCATCCCAGGGACTAACGGCCCTTGGGCCCTCAGACTTTGGGACCCTCGGTGGATCTGAGGCTACTGCCTGCTTTCAGTAGACCTCCGTGCAGAGGGGGGAGCTAAGGCCCTAGATTTCAGTGGCAGTGATCTCCTCCAGGCAGATGCAGGGCGCTGGCTCTGCCAGGCCCAGGTCTGCGAGTTCCCGGGCCTCCAGCTCCAGACTGAGCTGCTGCAGCTCCTGCTCCAGCTGCCGGTTACGTCGGTACATCTGGATGTAGTTGTGCTGCAGCTGCTTCTGGTAGCGGATCACCTGCTCCTTCTCTGCCTGCCAGGCCAGCCGCTCCCCCTCAAAGCTGTCCCGCTGCTCCTCACCTCGCCGCCGCTCCCGCTGTAGCTCCGCCCGGAGCCGCTCCACCTGGGCCCGCAGGCTGCCCCCGACCCCGGCGGCAGCCCGCTGTGCCTTGGCCTCATCACTCTCTGCCAGGAGGAATGGGTCAGCAGTGGCAGGTGGCACAGGGGGTTCCCGGAGTCCGGCGGCCTCACTGTCCAACTGCCCAGCTTTCTCCCGCAGCCGCTCAGCCTCTTGACGGTGCCGCTGCAGCTCTTGGGAACAGGCCTCCAGCTCCAGCTCCCGTGTTCGGGCTGCTTCCTGGAGGCCCCGTGCCCGGCCCTCACTGACCCGAAGCGCTGCCCGGGCCTCCCGCAGTGCCACACGCAGGGCCACCAGCTCGCTGCCCTTCTGTACCAGCTCTGCCTGAGATTCCTTCAGTTGCTGCTTCAGCAGGGAGATCTCACCCGACTTCTGGCACACCTAGGGGTAGGAGACAGTTGGAAAAGATGGTGAGAAGGTTCTCCCAGGTGGCCAGGCCCTGACATCAAGCTGGGCATTTGGGGAGAGCCAGTTTGATCACTGTACCTATTTTACAGATGAAGACACTGAGGCAGCTATGGTGGAATATAGGCCCAGATCTTCTGGTTTCAAAGCTGGGGTCTTTAAACCATCATGAAGCACCAGCTTCATGCGGGTTTGGCAGGAGTGGAAGCAGCAAAGGGCAGTGCCTGCATTTCCAGTTGGGAGGCACTATAGTGTCTTGGTGGAAAGCACAGACACTAGAGCCAGACTGCCTGGGTTCAGATCTCAGCTCTGCCACTGACTAGGTGTGATCTCAGGCTCCATCCCTTCTGGGTCTCATTTTCCTCACTGATGAAATGAGGGTGTGAACAGCACCCAATTCACAGGGTTATTACAAGGATTAGATGATACTCTACGTTACATGCTTCGAGTAGCAGTACCTGTCAAGGAATAAGCACTACATTCTCATTATTGGTGGGAAGGCAGTGGATGGGGATGTCACTGGCTACCTGAGCACTTAGAGCAGAGCCATGAGGAGACCAAATGTGAAGGCCCCCAAGACGACCCATACCCAGAAAGGGAGGTCAGAGGGGGGAGCCTCATCTCACAAAAGTGAGGAAGGGGAGGCCCTCTGGAGATGGCAGGTGAGGGGATGTGGCTGGGCCCCTCCTTTCAAGGCTTACCCCCTCACTGAAGGCCCTGCTCCCTGCCCCTCCTGGTACAGCTCACCTCCCACTTGGTCTCCTCCAGCCGTGGCCCGAGCTCCCGTTGCTCCCGCTCGAAGGCGGCGCAGCGCCGCTCCAGCTGCTCGCGTTCCTGCAGCAGCTGCGCAAAGTCGTCCTGTAGCTGCCTCTTCTCCTGCTGCAGCTGGAACACCTGAAGCTGCAGCAGCTGTTGGGCCCGCTGGGCCCGCTGGGCCTGGGCCACGCCATCCTCTCGCAGAGCCTCTCGCTCACGGGGCCAGTGCCGCTGCCGCTCCTCGTACACCTGCGGGCGAGAGGGCAGGCCTGGGTCCCGGAGGCTCCCCCACACCTCCAACCCTGACCACCCCCAGCACCCCAGTTACCAACTGCCCTGGTGGCCCACTGTCCTGGGCTCAGGGAAGATGGATTCAACAGTGACAATAATTAGGAGACCGACAGTAACAACCACTTGCTACTACTACAATAATAGCAAGCATGTGTGTGGCACTTCCCAGGTGCCAGGCATTGATCTAAGCACTTTACACCCTTAGCCCTGCTTAATCCTCATGATAACCCTGGGGCCAGGAATATCCTCATTTATGGTGAGGAAACTGAGACTCAGTACAACCAAGTAGCATGCTCAAGTCTGAAAGACAGTATATGGTGGTGTCATGTCCACCATTCTAGATTTTAAACCAGACAGCTGGGGTAGGGATGGGGGTCACCAGCCCAACACCTGCCTCTTAGCAGACAGAAATGCTTCTTGTATGCCCAGCACCTGTGGATGTCCTGCCATGCCACCCCCATCACTGCCACTGACCACACCTGGCACATGGTCACCTCACTCTCGTCCAGACTGTCCCGCAGCTGCTGCAGCTCCGTCTCCCGGTCTCGGAGCTTTCCTTCCAGGACACAGTGCAGCAGGGCCTCGTCCGAAGGGGGTGGTGGGGGCGGGGGCGGTGGTGGGGAGCGTTCCCCACAAGAGCTGCTGTCAGGGGAGGCCCGGGGACCGCTGCCCAAGAGCCCCCCAGCCATGCGACCCCCCAGGGAGCCTGTGCTCTTGCTGGAGGAAGAACGGCCACTGTCTGAGTGGGAAGGCCCGGTGGGGGCTCCTCGGGCTGGCCCCGGCAGGGCACCCCGCCCAGGGCCGTGGGAGGGCAGGTGCCCGCCTGGGGAGTTGGTAGCCGGCTCGGCACCCCCGGTGCTGTAAGTGGGCAAGCTGGACAATGAGTTTCGGCCGGAGTCAGACAGAGTCCCCGATGGGCAGCCGCTGGCCCAGCCACTCAGTATCAGGGGTTTGTCGGCAGCCGAGGAGGAGGAGGAAGAGGAGGAGGAGGCCGGGCCCCCGAACAGCTGCGTTAGGCTGCCTTGGCTCCCCGACGGTCCGGTGGCCCGAGGACCCAGGAAGCTAGGTAGGGATGGTACCCCTCGAGGTTTGGGCAGCACTGGCTTGAAGGCTGTTGGGCGGATCACAATTTTCTCCATGTTCTGAAATAAGGTGCCATTTGACAATGGGGATGAGCCGCCCAATCTCTCGAAGCCCTTATCACACTCCCTGCCCTCCCATCCGGGGCCCCCAACCCCCATATAGTAATAACAATTGCTACCACTGGCTGAGGGCCTCCTGTGTCAGCTTTACTTATGTCAGGCAACTTAAAATGTACCTCTCAGGTCATTACAAAATCCATGCAAGCAAAATATTATCACTATTGCATACATAGATGAGGAAATGGAGGCTGAGGGAGTTACAGGCCTTGCTCAAATGCCAACACACAGTAGTTATATAGAACAGTATTTCTAAGAAGCTAACATTTACTGAGTACCTATTATGTACCAGGCACTAGGCTAAACACTTCACACATATTATTAGATTTAATTCTCACAACAATCCTATGAGAGTTGACCTGTTACCTCCATTTTACAAACACAGAAACTGAGGCTCAGAAAGGTCAAATGATTTCCCTGAGTGAGGTAGAGCTGGGATGAGAACCCAAGTCTGGTGAATCTGGAGCCCATACTCCTTCCTATAAATAGGTCTCCAAATTTCAGCTTCTCCAGGGGACCTCTGATTCCACCCAGACCCTCAAAGGAAGGGCTGGTCCTCACCTTCTCTAGTTTTCCAGAGACAGGAATGAGCTTTGGTGGGGGACCACGGAGGTGGGCATTGCGCGCCCGCTGCTCTCGGGCATCTTCAAGGTCACTGCTTGGGCTGGGGGGTGACTCTGTCCGGAAGTCCTCATTGACGTAGGTAAAGTTGGTACCAGGGACAGCCTTCCTGGGGGGCACAGCTGGGCACAGTGGCTCCTGTGCCTCGTAGCCGCCCCGCAACAGCCCATCCTGCTGGCGGAAGAAGGTGGGTCCAGGGGGACCATGGTGGCGAGGAGGAGCCGGCCCCCCAGGGCAGGGCCGGCCTGAGATGAGGCTGCTCACGCTGCCCATGGCTGGTGCTTGTGGGGCAGTAGCGGCCTCAGGAGCGGGCTCCAGTGGCACTGGCAGTGTCTGCACAATGGCCATGGCAGCAGAGGCTCAGGCCTGGCCAAGGGCCTCCAGGGAAACCTGTGAGCAGAGAAGTGGCATCAGAGTCTCTCCACCTTGAGCTCCCTCCCTGGATAAAGTCCTGAGTCCCTCCTGGTCCTTAGTCTCAGGTCAAACAGTCCACCCGAAATCAGTGAAAAGCACTGATCTCCTCCCTCTAACATATCCCCTCTTGCATCTTGGCAAGAACCTCCATCCTCCCTGGCCCCAGACCACTGCCCAATTCTGGGCTGAATAGGGGTGAGGACTGAATCTATCAAGCAGGGATGATGAGGGAATGGGGGTCCCACAGAGGCCAGGAATCATGGAGGGAGCCCTCTGTACCAGCTCCTGGCACTGGTCCCTGGCCCCCTGGGAAAGGTGGACTCATTAGATGCAGTCTCGGCAAACTCAGGGGTGCAGTCAGCAACTCAAATGGTAATTAGGGAACAAAGAGCTAAGGCCAGGCAGTGCCCAGCCTCATGTAGCTGGGCCTCAGTTTCTCCCAGACAGAGAGGCGGCAAGGGTGGAGCTGGTCAAACAAGAACCAGAGCTCTTAGGGAGCCCACAGGTGCCCTCTGGGGTCTCCTGCTTCCCAGAGGTGGGTGCAGGCTCATGCCTATTTCCATGACAATTCCTAGCCTCACCGCACCCAGTCAGTCAGGCCTAAAGAAGCCTCCACAGGCCCACTGCCAACCTCTATGAAACCTTTTAGCTTTCGACATTCCCCAGAGTAACTCCAAAGGGATGAGGATAGAGGCTCTACCATCACCTCTGGCAGCTGCTCCAGGGAAGAGGGCTCCACCTCCCCAGGCCCTGCTCCTTCCTGGAAGGGGATAGCAAGCCTCCACCCGGAACTCCCTCCCCAGTCCTGAGGCTGAAGACCAGGACTCAGGCATCTGCTGAAGTCATCATGCAGAGCGGGGGCCAAGAAGTGGACAGAGAACTGCGTAGGAGTAGGAGTGTATGCACTTTACTTATTTGTGCGTGTGAAACTGCACAAGAACATGAACATGAGCACTGTGTGTGAAAACATGAGTGTATGCATGTATGTTTGGACAGATGTATCAATACATTCAGATATATACATGTATATATATATATGAACTCATATGGGCATACCTTACAAAAATCTGTGCAACTCTCTCAGAAAGTACGTGAAAATTATAAATGCATACATTAGTGAATCTGTGATGTATGAGTGTGACTATGTCAGAGAATGGTTTGATGTCCATTCATATATACATGAGTTTATGTATCCTACACAAGTGTGTGAACAGGAAATAGTGCACAAGTGTGTACAGAGGGTTGTGTGTGCATGTGAGAGGGTGAGAGTCTGGGTGGCACGCAGGGCCAAATGGGTGAGTGGGAGCCTGGTTTTTGTCACTCACTGGAGTGTGTGGAGAGGAGAGACATTATTCTTTGCTTGATCTGCTCTCCTTCATTCTTGCTGGTGTTCCGTTAAGTCCACCCTCCCCCACCTCCCCACTCAAGTCAAAAGATCTGGAGGAAGGTGTCCACACTGAGGGAGGAGGAGCTGGGAGCCAGGGGTGGGGGTGACTGGTGCCCTCTGAGCAGGGGTGGGGTCTGAGTCCACCCCACAAGTGCCAGTCCTGAGCAAAGGCGAAAGAACACCCTCTCCTCTGCCCTCTCCCAGACCATCCAGGGCATGCAGGAAACCGTGGGGAAGGGGCTTCCCCTAAGGGGCCAAGAGGGCTGGCATCTCGGTGTGTTTCCCCACTTCAGTGAACACAGAGAAAGTGGAAACTGAGGGGAGGAGACAGAGATTCAGACAGGGACCCAAAAGACAAGAGACAAAGACGAAGAGCGGCTCCAGGGTCAGGCGGACCCAGTGAGCCGGGGTCCCTGCGAAGCCAGGGGCCCCTAAACCGAGAAGAGACGCTGAGTTGGGCCCTGAGAGCCAGACACCCACGGAGCCAAAGCCAGGCGCCTGGAAAGCCAGGCCCAGCCAGCCCGGCTCCCGCTCTTGGAGCCTGAGAGAAAAGGAGGGGCAAGTGGAGGCTCCATTTTGAGAAATGCGTTTGTGGCTGTGGGAAGGGAACCCCTCGCACTCCCCAACATCCTTGAGAAACCGCTCCGGTACAGCACACACTGCCCTGCTCGGTGGGCCGGGGGCGGTTGAGGGCTGGATCCAGCTGGGGCCCGAGGGAGGTCTGGCCGAGGTCTGAGTTTCCCACAGACCTGTTTTGGGGGCAGAAGAGTTCGAGAAAGTCTCCCCCTCACCAAACTCCAGCACCATCCAGCGGGATCAAGTCTGGGATCACGAGTTTCCATTACGAGACAGGAAGCCGGGAGCCCCCAATCCTCCCTCCGGAGTTCACCCCCCTCCTTCCGCCTCTTCCAGAAAGTGGGGGCAGCTGTGGAATGCGGCCTCCCCACGGGACCTCCGCCGCGCAGAAGTTGGGGGCGCCCCCAGGTCGCCTCCCAGCCCCGGCCCCCCCCTCACCTCCACCGCGCCGCTCCATGCTCAGCCCCGGGCCGCCCCCAGCGCTCCACAGGCGCGCCGCCCGGCTCCAGCCTGCCGTGCGCGGCCACTTGGAGCGGCCGGGTCCGACCCGGCCCCGCCTCCGCGGCGCCCCCAGCCCGGCCCGGCCCCCGCCCGGCCCAAGTGGGCGGTGCAGCGCGGGGGAGGGTCCGAGGGGTGACCCCGCCCCCGGGGTGCGGACTCGCGCAGGCACCCGGCGTCACGCGTGTCCGGCGGGGCGCACGCTGGAGCTACGCAGCGGGACTCAGATTCCTTCCCTCCGAGGCGCGATGACTGTGTGTCTGGGGCTCGGTCGGCTCAGGACTAGGCGACGGCGAATCACCCTCTACCCCTACTTGGGCCCCGGGGCCAGCGGCAGCTGGTCATTGTTCGAGCACAAAGGGCCAGGCGCCGCGGCGGCCGCCCTTCCCCCTCCGCTCCTCCAGTCGATGCCTCACCCCCAGGCACACTCTCCGGCTTCAGAGTCCAGAGAGGGAGGTTGAGGGTCACCAGCACCCAACTCTGGGCCCTGCGTCCCAGCACAAGTCGGGGGCCGAAGCTTGGTGGGTGCCTGCCCCACCCCCAGCGGCTAGCAGAAGGCACGCTAGGATTTGCGGAGGCGGCGCCACCTGGCGGCCCGTTCAGAGAACACACCCAGCCACCCCCAACCTTGGGGGGCCCCTACCCTTCTCCCCAGTGCTGTACTCCCTCTCCGGAGAGTCCAGGCCTTCCTCGAGGCGGTTCTTTGCTCCTCAACCTTCCCTCAGAGACATTTGCTAAGAGGTCAGTGCTCACAGAGAGACGTCCCCTGGGCCCCCAAAAGCCACCCCAGTGGGTGAGCTGGTCCAAACCTACAGGCCAAGCTTACGCCAGCCTCACAGCAGACAACGTTCCACTGTCTTCTCAGGGTCAGGGATACTCTCACCCTCTGGCAAACAACACAATCTAAACACCCACACGACCTTTCCCACATTCAGTCTCAGACACAATCACTCAGTCTGTCTGGTACATCAGAAAGTTCCATGTCCCTTCTTTCCATAATCAGGCCAACTCACAGAGATACACTCGGTGTGACGGCTAGTTGTGCATAAGCTTTCACAGCTCAAGTTCCTTTGCACCCAGTCACAATCTTGAATATACTTGTCTCCCAAGCATTTTTCACACTGACAGTTTTTCACAGTCACAAAGACAAGTTCTTAAACATACACGTCGTATTTCACAAACATTTTATCACACAGACTTTCCCATAGGGGTCTCTGTGACCTAGCCAGGTCAGCTGATGCCCGCATCCCTGGGCAAGGACAGCCTCCTGCCCCCTAACCCCGCCCCCCCAGAACTAAGGCCAGCCAGAGCTCCTCTGCCCCAGGAAGGAGCATTCCCCCCCACCCCCCACCCTTCCAGGCCGCAGCCTGGCCGGCTCTCAGCTCTATTTTTAGCTCCATGGAAAGAGTTGTTTTCTTTCTTTTTCCCTGGAAAGGGAAACATAGCCCAGCCACCCTCAGGCTCACCCTAGACCCTCTTGCCTCACAAGTACAGACTGAGCCCCACCCACATAGAGACCCCCTCTTCTGGCCTTGCCCTGATCCCAGCCTCCTGGGGCACCAGGAGCCTCCTCCCCTTTCTGGCAGCCTGCCCAGAAGCTCAGGCAGCAGCTGGGCTCAGCGTGTGTGTGTGTGGGGGGGGGAGGCCGAGGGCCGCTGCCCACTCACTCATTCGCTGGGGGGAGGGGGCCGTGCTCCCTTCTATCAGAGGGAGATAGGCCCACTCTGGTATAGAGAGGATGTGTACGGTCATGCATTCTTTGGGGAATGGGGGCTCCCACTCTTGCGTGAGTGGGCTTTCTGCTCCTACTTTGAGGGGAGGAGCTCTCAGTTCCGCAAGGAGGAGTGTAGTAAGAAAGAGGACACACAGGCGCTCGCGCAGCTGCTCCCCGGGGCTGGAGGTCCCGGCGGAGGCTACTGTACACTGCCATGCAGAATTGCGCCCCCCCTCGGGTACCTTCAGGAATGGAGGCAACATGTTCCGGAGAAGGAAGGTGAGGAGCCCAGGTAACCAAGCCTCCCAGGTAACCAACCCTCCCAGGTAGTCCTCCTGTGCTACCCCAACTCCAGGGGGCGTTGTGCTCCCATTCCTGGGGAAGGGCTTATCCCCTCCAGGTGGAGAGTGGAATACAGCCCGGCAAGGTATCTTTAAAACTCGCTTAGTATGGGGGAGGGAGGTTCCCGCCGCGAGGCTCCCCTTGTACAGCCCATGGGTCTGCGAAGCGATCACGTGCTCAACGTCTGTTTACGTCTTAATCTTCACCTGCGGGAAGCAGGGAAGCCGGAACCTCCGGAGGCGTCCCACCTGGCCCGCCCCCGTCCGCGGTCACTGGGAGGCCCTTTTCTCCCACCCTCGTCAAGTACGCGACGGCAGCAAACCCTGTCCGCTGGGGGTCCGCGCGGGCCAGCGGCGTCGATCCGCCGGCAGCAAGCGAAACTCTATGAGCGCGTCCGTCCCGCAGTGCACGTGTATTCGGGTGTCTCCAGTACGTGCGTGGGTCTGTGTGCACGTTTGTGTGCGCCCGTCGGTGTGAGTTTTCGTGTACGTTCCCTGTTCAGACTCTTCGCCCGCGGACCCTGGACTGAAGACCCGTCTCTTCACCCCAATCCCCCGCTTCCCGGGATTGGGAAAGTTCACTCCGGGGCGGGGGTGTGCAGGAGGCGAGAGTTCCTACACCGCCGCGGCGCCCCCACTCACTCACCCAGCGCTACCTGAACCGCCGTTCCAGCTCCCGCCAGGCTCCTGATCCAGGGCCGGCACCTCCTGGCCGCAGATTCGCCGGCTCTCCAGCGCGCTCGGCCCGGGCTTGGTGGAGGGGGCGGGGCGGCTGAAGCCGCGCCCCCGACCGAGGCAGGGGAGTGGTCTGCCCAGCACCCCCTCAGCAGCGGATCTGGTACCCTGCCAAGCAGTGTCGCGACGGTGGCCCAAGACTGCCCCTCGGACTTCTGACTTCGCAGCTTCTGGAACTGGCTTTTGATTTCGGAAGGGGCTAGCGGCGCTACAGCTAAGCTAAGCTGCCTGGCTGCCCTAACCAAGTTGGCTATAGGGCTTTACTGCCACTATCCTCTGGTCTATGGGGAGCCCAGCCTGGTCCACTCTGGGCCCACTCCCCAGACACAGGGAAAACCCCTGGGAAGCAGACAAAGAAAGCTCGGATTTCACCAAAACAGACCCCGCCCTTTCTCTCACACACCTCTGAGGTTGGGGCTGCTCAAGCAGAACCAACACTTCCCCCTCCCCTGGAGTAGGTGTCTGCCCAGGTGAGCAGGCTTGCCAGTTCTGGCCCCCCACAGAGTGTGGCCAGGCTTCTGTTAGACTTATAAAGTTCCACCCACAGGCACAAACAGGAAGTTGACCTGTACTGCACCAAAGGCTCCCTCCCTTCATGGCACCCAAGGCAGCCTGTGGGAGGGCAGACCGTGATGTCTACAGGTATCTGGGTCATATCTGCAGCCTGAGTACTTGGGCAGCAGGAATCCTTTGAGTCTCTTCTCACACCCATCCCCAGTGAAGGGATGGAGGACCAAAACTGCCCCCTCACAGCCAAGTGGGTTAGTGAATCTGAGGACAAGGCTGCAGATCCAGTTGGACTCTACTGGGCCAGACTGTCCCTCAGCTCTGAGGAAGATTCCAGTTGGGCACAGGCTGAGTACTGGTTCTAGCCCAGGCAGTTTGCCTCAATCCACTTTGGCGAGGTACAGAAACAGTGACTCGCAGGGACCTTACATAGGAACCAGGGATTAACTGCTACTTTCTGAGCTCCAGGGGCTCCTGAAATACTTTGGGCTAATTTTCACGTGAGGAGTTTAAGACAGGTGTGGAATGGAATGTGTGTGTGTAGGGGGTGGGGCTGGGGGGGATCATTAGCTTCCCCTCCCCGCTACCATTCTGGTTTGCTGTGTAGGCTGTTTGCTAGGCGGGTGGGGCAAGACAGGCAAGTGTGTATCTATCCCTCTGTCCCCAATTCATAGACCTCATAAAAGTCCCCTAATGGAAATCCCTGAAGGATTTCCTGAGCACAGAAGACCAGAATGTGGAACCCACATCCTTAAAGGTAGGATTGACCTGGTAGTGTGCATCTGGAAGGCATGGCTGACGTTCAACGTTATAGACCCTAGATGAGGCCTAGACCAGCCAGCGGCTGGGAATGATTACTGCGGGATTAAGAGGCCTGGCTCCAGCCAGTCTGGGAGAGACCCCCAAGAAGGGAGGCCCTGGAGGAGGTCCCCCTCCTCCCCCCAAAGAACAGCTTTGTTCCAGGGTCTGTTTCAGGAGACAATTGTAATCACAGTTCTCACACACAACAGACCAGGGACCCCAAACCATTCCACAGGGTTCTAGACCTCCCTCTTAGGTTGACAGGGAATGCTTGATAAGGCAGCCTTGCTTCCAGGAAGCAGGACATCCCCCCCCCCAATACCCCCCTTAACAAAAGGCTTCTCCCCAGCCCTAGAACATCTTGCATTCTCACTACTCTTGCAGGCAAATCTAAAGGGAAACAGACTTTAGAAAATCAGAGGAAGTAACATGGGAAAGTGTTATCATTTAGCAATATTTCTGACATGGTCTCTTTCTGCATAAGTTATTTTACGATATCCTTCAGAGTATCTTAAAAACAAGGAGTCCTGCACCTCTCCTGAAACCTCCAGAGTCAGAAATGCCTGTGTGTCAGGATTGGGGGAAGAGTAGGGCCTAGGTTCTGCATTTTTAAACAAGAGACCGAGTTCTAACACACACTAACATAGGAGAAACCCGGAGAGGGTACAAGGAGAGGAAAATGGAAGTG